GGTCAAAACTACTCGAATTTCCTCACTCACGTTGTTACGACTGAATCGAGTTTTCAATTCTCTATCCAACGATGCCAAAACGAATTCTGTGGCTCTAATGGTTCTTGAGAAACTTCGAAAAAAGCAGCGTCAAGTTCAAGTGGATTTTGCAACTCAGAAAAAACCACACACATCTAAAACTTCTTGAATTCAAGCATTTTTTGAGAAAACTGCCAACATTTCCCCATCCATGATTCACTTTCTGAAAAGGCCATTTATTTCTGTCTAGCATTATGTGCACATGAGCGTTCTTGCTCATTTTGCCTCCGAGATATGAGCAAAAACGGAACGGAAAGCATGAAATTTTGGCATAATCTTGAACCTAAGTGTTTTATAATCAAATTTCGCTTTCTGGGTCAAAACCACTCGAATTTTCTCACTCGCGTTGTCACGACTGAATCGAGTTTTCAATTCTCTATCCAACGATGCCAAAACGAATTCTGTGGCTCGAATAGTTCTTGAGAAACTTCGAAAAAAGCAGCGTCATGTTCAAGTGGATTTTGCATCTCTAAAAATATCACGCAAATCTAAAACTTCTTAAATTCAAACATTTTTTGAGAAAACTGCCAACATTTCCCCATCCATGGTTCACTTTCTAAAAAGGCCATTTATTTCTGTCTAGAATGATGTACACATGAGCGTTCTTGCTCATTTTGCCTCCGAGATATGAACAAAAACGGGACGGAAAACATGAAATTTTCGCATAATCTTGCACCTAAGTGTCTGATATTCAAATTTCGCTTGCTGTGTCAAAACTACTCAAATTTCCTCACTCACGTTGTTACGACTGAATCAAGTTTTCAATTGTCTATCCAACGATGTCAAACGAATTCTGTGGCTCGAATGGTTCTTGAGAAACTTCGAAAAAAGCAGCATCATGTTCAAGTGGATTTTGCAACTCAAAAAAAAACCACGCAAACTTAAAACTTCTTGAATTCAAGCATTTTTTGAGAAAACTGCCAACATTTTCTTATTGATGGTTCACTTTCTAAAAAGGCCATTTAGTTATCGCTGGAATGATGTAAAAACGAGCGTTCTTGCTCATTTTGCTTCCGAGAAACATGCAAAACGGAACGGAAAACATGAAATATTGCAATAATCTTGCGCCACCCTTGCACAAAACAACGATCATTTTTCTAATTTTATAGATAACATAAAACTGTATTTTTTCTGCATAACCACCCCCCCCCCCCCACCTGACTTTAAAGCTGGATCTGCCCCTGGCTATAACTACATGTATGATGGGGACAACCTGATCAATTCCCGTCTTTTACGTTGCAGGTTTTGTGGTACAGAAACACTATGCAGCTGGACACTACCGAACAAAGGATAATGGAATCGAGAGGATCCCGACACACGCTCGTAATTCGGAAAGTGACCTCAGACGACTTGGGAAACTACACTTGCGTCGCCGACAATCAGCTCGGCAAAACGAGGAAGAGGATCGAATTAACCGGTGAGACTTTCGATCGGATCTGACAATGTCCGGGGTTAATTTTTGGCAATAATTATGCAGCCAAGCCCCATCCGGTCAAGTTCGTCAGTCCGCTGGTCAGCCAGTGGAAGGAGAACTACAACATCAGCTGGCAGGTTGAGTCGCTGAGCCCCATTCAAGAGTACAAGCTGCTTTACAGGAAACTGCCCGAAAGCGACAGCCAGCCCCAACCTGTACACCATCAGAGCCTGAAGAACGTGCCACAAAGGGGGGTAAGTCGCTGCAGCCAAGCAGTTCAAGTCGTTTCTCATTAATTGCCTCTAACAAAAAAACGCCAGTCGCGTCACTGGCATTCCAATCTGTCTTATACTCTGGCCGAATATTTTTCATCTGGAAAAACTAATTATGCTGTGTGTCTTTTGTGTTGGACGAGGCCGACGTCGCCGTTGGAATTAAGAAAGATATATATATATATATATAAGTTACTAAAAAGCGAGATTTATATTAAAGAGATTAATCCCCGTTCCGCTTCACAATATATCACGTTCTTTCTGTTCGGGAAAATATTCCAATGGAACCTGCTGGAAAAAAGAAACTCTGAGGTATCTTTGTGTGCCCAGCGCTTTCCCGGTCGAGCCAATCCTAGTGATTAATTGCCGGGATGAAATACATTATTTTAAATATAAGCGCGGAATAAGAACAACCAGACACTTTAGCACACTTAAATGAAAATCGCACGTTGCACTTCGGCCAAGTTCCAAATGCCTAGAGGGCCTCAAAACGTCATGCCCGATAAAAGTTATAACCGATAGTAGGAAAATATGGAAAACAGCTTCAGGTAAGTCATAACGGAAGCCGAAACCATTAAGAAGGGTCGCGCATACGGAAAATGATCCCGCAAATCGCTTTGGGGCTGTCTAGTCAGATCGTAAAGTGCATATAGGGTGATTCAAAATTGGCGTCATTCCTCTGGAGGTGTTATCTGGGGGTGTCTTGGGAGAACAGAAAAAAATTTAATGTTATTAAAAATTCAGATATTTGCAAAAAACTAGATCAGAACACTAGGTAGAATTTCTTCTTGACGTTTCGCAAGCACCAGTGGCTTGCATCTTCAGAAGTGGTTTGCTTGAACGCTTACACTGTTCTCATCTGAACCCGTTCAGTTCTGCGGAAGAACTGAACAGTTTGTACAAATTTTTGTTATTATTGGCAAGGGCTATCCACATGTAACCATCTGTTAATGACAAAAAAATTATTTCCGCTTTGACATCTCATCAAAAAATTGCAGAAGAGAACTTTTTTAATACAAAAAAAGTTGGTCACTTGACCAAAAAGATCGTGATTTTCCTTTTCGAATGCTTAAGTATGCCAATAGACCGCCAATCAACCGTGGGACCTTTTCAAAATAATGCTTAATAACAAAGTTGAAATTCAATCTTCAACTGTTAATAACTTCTTGATATTTCGAAAAAAATTTTAATAAATTATAAAAAATATTTTTATAATGTACAGGGTAGGGTGTCCCAAAGGCTCTAAAGGTATCAAAGTTGCGTTTTTTTTTAATGGAATGTCCTGTATATTATTGCATTTTTGGATTCGCTGAACAAAATAAGTGTCTGTTTTAATAAGGTTTATAATACCTAAATATTAAGGTTTTTTTAAATAATATGAATTTAATCAAAATCTAATATAATTTCCACGTGTCAAATACTTTAGAAGTATTTAAGTTATGTAAGCCTAATTTATAGTGAAGTATAACAAGATATAATATTTTATATCCCAATGATAATAAACTTACCATGTTATACAGGGTGTCCACAAATTTAAACTAATCAAATAAGAACTTTAAGTGGCTCTAACTTGATTAATTTAAATACAACCCCATATTTTATATTTTTTATTATACATTGGAACCTTAAATTAAACATCACCAAATGGTGAACAGAACCATTATTTGGTGTATTTTGTAAAACGGCAAAAACTTAGTTATAAACATCCTAGTACCATTCGATAGGAAATTAAAAATTGCATTTCCTGGTAAGCTAAAAAATATGGGGTTGTATTTAAATTAATCAAGTTATAGCCACTTAAAGTTCTTATTTGATTAGTTT